TATATATATATATATATAGATATATATATGTATATGTATATATATGTATGTTTATGTCTAAAAAAAACATGTATTATGAGAAACACAACGCATTTTCCCAATGTGATGGTTTAAGTATGAGTTGTAGGTTTTAAAGTAGGTAGCTGACATTTGTAGTTAGTCCTGGCTGATTGATTCCCGTAAATAAATGTCATAGTGATTCATTGAAGCAAAACCAGAAAAGAAATAAAAGTAAAAGCATTTAAATACATAATTATCATCAATCTGAATTTTTTTGCTCATTTCCTTTATTCATTATCCTAAACAAAAGCAGTCATTGATATTACATCAACACCAAGACTGGTAGTTAAGGCTTAGAGGACAATGGTGATGACAGTGAGGCCATCCTTGGAGGAGAAGGAAAAGAGCGTTAACCTTGGAAAAGTTTTTCGTCACCGCGCTGGAATATCCGTTCTTTTTGATTGATTCCACATTGTTTTCAAATCTCTCATTCCAAACTTCTGTCTTTCTAATAACTTTCCTTTATTCATGTTGTGTCCTTTAAAACAAAAACAGCAAATGTGCAGGGAACCACTGATGTCAGTAAGCACCTTAAGTTCAGTCCCAGGTCCTGCTTCGACCGGTCGGATGAGCTGGGCTGGGAGAGTTGGCGGTTATGGGACAGTGAGAAGAAAAGAAGGGATGGAAATGTGAGGAGGGAAAGAGGGGAAAAGGGAGGAAGAATGAGGTGTGAAGGAAATCCCCTTTCAGTGCTGGATCCTGCGGATGGACTGGATCTGGGGAGTCTGGGCGTGGGAACCAAAGTCACGATAACATTTGTACTCTCCTCCGTGGCAGTCGCACTCCATGATGTACTGATAGCCACGGTATCCAGGGTACTGATAGCACACAAAGCTGCAAGAAAACACCAAGACATTGCATGAAGGATCATACTGAGTATATTTATTTTTATGTTGTAATGTCTACAGTCACAATGCTGCATGTTAATGTTAAGACATGCTTTAGCAGCAGCTGTTTATTGATTGTTTATTCTGCAGATACAGAGTAATTATATTATAAAAATACCATACAGTATTTTATTTATTTTCTTAAATCTGTCACTTATTCTGTTATTTTTACACACTTTTTTAAGGTCCACATTTGTGTGACAACTTCTGCTATAATCTTTTTGCTGCTGCTCTAACAACACAATTTCTCCTTTTTGGGACAATAAAGGGATTTCCTATTCTAATTTCAGAAAACATCTCTCTTTTACAGCACGCTATCCTTTTAGGGCAGCCTATTATAGAAAGGTTTACTATATTCTAACATGTTTAAGTTAACTTAAAAACATTTTAAAGTCAGATTAGAAGTGCAGTCACGTCTTATCTGTAAATTAATGGGTTCAGTCAATGATTCATCTCTTCTGAATAGCAGTGTTTGTAATATTGAGAAGAATTATTCACTTTGAAAGAGCCACTGTGCTGAATGATGTTTGTCTCTGTCCGTTAGAAGTATGTTGTGTGTATTGTTGCTTCTATTTCTGTTTTTATAAGTAACAACAATGTCACATAATATTTCAGTGATGTTATCAATGAGTCATGCTGTAGCAGTTGTGCATGTGTGTGAAATAAACTGCATATGAAAGATACTGGACATCAGGAAGAAGAACTCACGCTCCACAGTGGACCTGCATAGATCCAACCTCATTGTTGATCCAGCCCATGCCCTGCAGGGAGGGGTAGTCATCACACAGCTCAAACTGGCGACCCATCATGTTCTCAAACTCAAAGATGGTCATGCGGGACTCCTTGTGGTTCTACAAGTGACAGAGACAAAGCTATAGTTGGCCCCGGGGGAATCTTAAAGTTTTCTAAAAGAATCTCTTGTTGAACCTACAGCACAGCAGATTGGCCTGAGGGAAAGCATCCTCTCAATGCGATAGGAGTTGCTGCCACTGTAGGCCTCGAAGCGAGGATAATCACCCTTCTCCAGGACAAACTGTTGGCCACAGAAGCTGGAATGCTCGTAGCCCACCCAGCTATGAGACAAAGACAGAGTATATGATCGTCCCACCCTTTACAGCTATAAATAAAAAAACAACAACCAAAGGTGTCAATGGATACGCACACGCCACACTCCACCTTCAGGGATCGGATATTTTCCATCCCATACTCCATAATGTTCTGGCAGCTAGCGGTGAACTCCATGCGACTGCCTTGAAAGTACTCCTGATCATAGACGGTGACCTGAGGAGAGCAAACAGATGCAGAGGTCAGGATGTAGCGACTGAAACCGCTGTTCACATGCATAACATGGAGCTCACCTTCCAAGGGCCCATGGGCATAGGATTTGTCAGAGCCATTATGTCCGTTTCTTCAGCTGAACCTGTCAGGAAAAGACATCAAGAGTCAGGATGTTCATGATGTAAGAGACTCACAGTTCTGCTCTTACAAATCTCTGCACTGACGTCGCTAACATGAGCAGTAATTCACTTTTCCAGTGACTTTTTGCATTTTTTCATCTTTTTTTAACCTCTTGATTCAAGGGAGAACTATTTTTTTTAGTACATAGCCACACCATATATAACTCCAACAGCTACATCTCTGAATTTCTAGTTTTAAAGTTTCATTGAATGCACGGGATGTCCACAGATATATAAATGTTTTGCATTGTTAACTTTTTTAGCTACCTTGAACCTACCCAAACTGATGAGCTGTGTGGTGCAGGGATCCACTGAACAGTCTGCAGCAACAGCGCATATGGGGGTATAAATACACCCACGGGTTACAGGGGCCGGGGGCAAGGCACGCCTGGCCTCCAGTCAGCATTTTGCTTTGTTTTGTTGTGAGGGCCACCGAGGGGTTAATGCACAGGGACACTTTGATTCATTCAAACACAAAGAGTATGCAAGGCTACACCGCGTTACGCAGTAAATCTATGCATTAGGTGCAAAGGTGAAAAAAAAAAAAAAAAGACAGAAGGCAGGTTTAAACAATGAGTTATATGATCGGATTAATCGGAGTGGAAAGTAAATTAGCAGCTTTTGAATTCAGGATTAATATGTTAAAAACTTCTCACCAATGATCAGCCACCTGTTATTAATGAGATCTAAAAGGATATATTAGCAAATCTGGCCTGTAGTATTTCTAATATACTTGAATCCTTTAACAATACATATTAACCATGGAAGTCGCTGAGTAAATTAAATACAATTATTAATTTGCAATATATGCATTTCCATTTTATTCTAACCACAAACTTTTATGTATTTTATTGGTTTTGCATGTGATACTGTATTCACCTACACATAGCAGAGTATATGCTGGTGAAGATTCTCAGTCATACAGGTCACAGTCATTCCAAAAATAATAATAAAATAAAAAACAATCCACTGGATTTTGTTTCCACTGGACTTGAGTTCGAGGTTTTATACAGTAGCCTATCAAAACAAAAACAAGGTTTTGATGGGCTACTGTATAAAATCTTGAACTCAAAGCTATTCCTGACATTTTGAATTAAAAAAAGCTTCCTGGATGGGAAATGAAATGTCATCAAGCTTGGAAACAAAGTCCACTGGATTATTTTTCTTTTTTGGAATAGTATAAGTACCCTGTAGTATAAGTATAAGTAACCTTTATTTATTGTAGTATGAGTATAAGTAACCTGAGTTTTACAATGCGGTCCAAAAAGAATCAAAAGAGTGTTAGATAATGTTTTATTCAGTCCAGATCACCTTAAATAAAATCATTTTTAATCATCGGTTGCCTTTAATATAAATTAATTCTACCTGTGTATGTGTCCAGCTGTTCTATAACGTCTTTAGAAGTTTGTAAGAGTTCACAAAAGAACACACATTGTCATGAAGACCAAGAAATACAGTACTTTTGCCAGCAAGAAGATTGGTTCTAAAGTTTATCTGAGGCTTTGAACATTTTACTGACCACTGTTAAATCCATCAAAGGAAATGGAAAGAGTGTGGCATAACCTGCCAAGTCATAGCAGTCCAACTAAACTGAGGCATTCAAGAGGCCTTGAGACACACTGGGGGAGATGATCGGCTCAGATGGGTGACTTTGTAGAGCGGACAACCATTAGTTGTGCAGCTGTTAATATACAGAAGAGTGTCATTGTTAAAAAATAAAATGTAGGTGAGGAATTTGGGAAAAAATGCTCTGTTCTGATTTGACCAGATTGGAACTTTTGGACCTAAATGTGCAGTGGAAAACAACAATCCACACCAAACACACATTCTCCACCCTCTCCATGGTGAAGCACAGTGGTGGCAGCACAAAGCTGTGGGAGTGTTTTTCTTCAGCAGGTATATCAGACCTGATAACATGGATGTAGATAAATACAAGACAACCCTGAAAAAAAAGCAGCTAAAGGCTGTATAGAACAGGAGACTAGGGAGGATGTTCACCATCCAGGTAGACAACCATGAACATACAGCCGTATAATAAAATGGTTTGGCCAAAAAAAAAAAAAAAATCCCTGTGCTAAAATGATCCAGTAAATGTCCAGATTGAAATTTTACCCCCAAAAGATTGCAGGTGTAATTGAAGCAAATATCAGGAAAGCATAGCTAAAGCAAGGCAGAATAAAATGCTTGAAAGGCTTTTGAAAAGTATCATTTTCCTTTGACTGTAATGTATTTTGTATAATGTATTGTGTTGCTAAATGCAATGTAATATTTAAGAACTGCATATAGAAAAATCAAAGGATTTGTTTTCTTTTTCTTTGTGCACCCTAACTTTTAGGAAGGGTTTATCTACAGAATGAGAAGTTAATCAAACATCAAGTGGTTAGTTCATCTTTTTCTGTTTATTTCGTTTTTCCTCTTACTCTTTACTTTTGATTTTAGATTTTTTTTTGTAAATTATAGAAATATTTGTCATGGGAGGCCGAAGTCTGTTGTTTTTTTTTTTAAATAAATAAAGTTGCCATTTGATGAGTGCAAGATATGACATTCTGTGGTACATTGGGAGCAGTGAACAGCTAACTGGCAATAACACGATGAGTAAGATAGTAATAAGAATTTTTAAATCATTGCTAAAGCAGATTGTCTTAATGAAGTTGATGTGGAAAAAACAAATTGTCATAATTGTCCAGATTAAAGTAAAAGCTCATAGTGATGCAGTCTTCACTTCAAAATATAAAGCTGATGGTCAAATGTCCAGTAAATTATATTTCTGTCTTTTAATTAGGTTACGCCTTTTTTTAAGTGTTAAATTGTGACATCCCTTCTATTCCTACTGATATACGTAACTGGAGGCTGATAAATGGTGACGTTTTTTGTAAATTAGTCTGATATGGATGTAATTTCTTTGTATTTCAAGATTAATGATAATGTTTTCTTGCTATGTAGTAGGTAATTGTCAGTAAAGTTAAACAGTGGCAGTGGCATTACGCCTCTGGCAGCTCTTTGGCAGGCAGTCCATCAAAAAAAGCTGGCAGTAGGTCACACCCACTTTTTCTATTCATCTCATTAACTCAGGCAAAACATATGCACCACAAACTTCTGCTTTTCAACATATTTATTCCTAAATTAACATCAAAGTGTCGACACACCAGTGTGAGCAGAATAAGCAAATATAGGCGTACAACAGAGGGTTCACTCCTCTTATTACCTCTCTTAGCTGCACTGAACAACAAACATTTAGGAATGGCTTCCTGAGGTCAGCACATTGTCCAGACTCCCCGTCTCTGCTGGTGTGTGTAAATATATATCTGTTGATGTGCAGGTCAGAGAAAGCATCTAAAAGGATAAACAGGGAGTGAGAGGAGTGCATGTGCTCTTACAGTAATTGTCAAAATGAAAGCTTTGTTTGTGAAATCAAAGTGAATTTATTCAGGTTAAAGTGCGAGGGACATGGGTGCAAATATGTGTGTGTGTTTGAATGGGTGTGGGGGGGGCCTGTTGTGTCTGTGTTTCTGCTGACGAAAGCAGCAACTCAGACGTGACAATGGGACGAGCAGACTCAGCAGGCCCACGTGAAGAGCCCACAGTCACCACATAGCCAAACTGACCAAAATACTAAAATCCCTCACCTCTTTATCACAAAAACTTCGGGACCCCGTTTGAATCGGGAGCAGATAAAGTAAAATATTTTGCTCACATAATTAACAGCTCTGCAAAAAAAAGTGTGCTATTTAGAATTAAGAGAGTATTTTATTTATATTTTTAGGAGGTTCAAGATGAATGATCTGCAGGTGGCATCAGTCAACCATGAAGCTGATGAGGCTTTCAGGGACGCACTAAATCACAACTAAATTAAGCCCCATGCATAATAAGCCCCACATATTAACCATTCAATCTGTTAACATGTTTAGTGTTATAAAATAAAAATATCCAGAGGAAGACGAAAGATGAAATACAGAACTGCTTAGTTCTATGTCTTATAGTTTTTTGTTGAACTAAATACATGTATTTTTGCTGTTGCAAGCAACAAACAAAAGAATAATTTTACAGAATTGTATCTGATTTTATCAAATGTCAAAGTTCTTAGGTAAATATCACTTTCAAGACATAATCTTTTTTTATTTCTTTATTTCTTAAGCTTGTTCTATTTTCCCATGAAAATCGTCCTGTTGTCCTCCACAGTGGACATGCAATAAAATTAAAATTAAAATTAAAAATATATTTAAAAAAATTTAACTTGTAATGTGTTTTTTTAGGTCTAAATACATGGGAAATCACACAAAAAAAGAAATTGTAAAACATTTTTTTTCTTCGGTTCTCAGGAGGATATGTTTGTATATATCTCCAGTAAAATGACTTCAGTGAAGGATTTTACAGATAATACGTTCTCCCTGTTAGGTGGAACATTTTCACCCATTTTTTAATGATTACATAAAGAAGGGCCAGACTCCTTACATGTTCAATACTACGACCGCTTAAAATGTTTCAATTTACAGTCGATTTGGCACAACTAATATATTTACACATGCTGCCAAAGCAGAGCTGGGTTGTGTGACTGAGGTCTCCAGAGGCAGGCCTAACATGAATGATCCTGGTGACACAGAAACACAAAGACAGGGTTCAAAACCCAAACAATAATTTCTGCTCCTCTCTTTTATTGAGTGGAATTAAATAATCTGAGCATTTCTTCAACCAAAAAGAAGTTATTTTGGATCTAAAATCTTCTAATGATCCGATTATATTCAAATGGTTATCTAATTAGATGATTTGTGAAAAGCATTTGAGTGCTTGGTAGTGAAAACCCAGGACAGACCACCAGGACAGGGGTACACAGAGTGTATAGCAAACGAAATTTCGAAATTTCAAGAATTTTGAAATGTTGCATAATGCTAACTCTCTGTTAGTTATTTTCATCTTGGTTTTAATAAAGGAAAACAACCGACTGACTGAAAACTGGTCCCTGGTAAAAAAAAAAAAAAAAACAGAGTTGATTTTATTTTTACATGGCAAACTGTTAAAATGAACACAAGCCAGCAGTGTATCATCTAATTGGTCATTCCTTTAAATAATATGGTTTTGTTCTTCAGGTTTCACTTTTTAGAAAAGAATTCTAGTTACAGTTTTTCTCTGTCACTGTTTTTCTCAAATCACTATTAACATTTGCACATTAAATTCAATCTCAAATAAATGAATAATTTGTTTACTTAATGGTATTAGTTTCTCATTATTTCAGATAAATTGTTGTGGACATGCATCAAATGCTTTCATACAGCTTTCTATTGTGTTATTACATCATCATTACATTACATTATGTCTTGAAGTATATGACTGATTTACTGTGTTTTATATTACAGTTTTTTCTCGATTACTTTGGCTCATGTACTGAAACCTGCTTCTAGTCTATTATTTTCTTAGAACTTATTAACGTTAATATTTTCTGTTTGGAAATCACTTTTCATCATTTTAAGCTGTCAGATTTTGGGCAGTAAACACATTTACTGTCTCTGTTTATTCATTTGTGTAAAATATGAACCCCAAAATGCTCACAGCACTAAATCAGTGAGTACTGAAGGAACCTTTAGCTGCTGTGTGATATGAGTGAGGATGCACATTTATTCACCTGATCAGAATTTGGTCCTTTTGATGAAGAAAGATGATTTTGGGAGATGATGAGTTTTGATAACGGAAAAACATTTTGCCAAAGAAAGCCTTTTGTTTTTAGAACCTGAACCTGTTCTGAGTTTCTTTGTGACCCGTTTTGCAAATGACATTTCTGAATGGAAAAATATGTCTTAGCAATTCCAAAAAAACAAAAAAAAGAAACAAAACAAAACTGTGATTTTATATATCCACTGCAGTATTGTTTACAGCTGAGAACAGCTCTTCCCTTTTACTGATTTTGTTTGTTCGCATAAGTTTATGTTTGTTTGTTTGTTCTTTTGCAAAATGATGTAAAGCAATTTGAATTGCAAAGAGCATATGAAGTAAAACTGTAGAAACTGACATTTTCAGTGTCTTGTACTCAGGCACCTGCTAAATCAATAATGTGTATGTTTACTGTGCCTTTTGGAGCATTTTCATATAGTGTCACAAAGATCTGATTTCTTTGCTTTGGAAAATATTCAAAGAGTAAAGTGTCATAATGAAAACATACTACATACTATCTTATTTCATAATGTCAGGGCTCTTCATCTGATCATGCATGCATGGTGATGAGCTCCTATGGGATGCCATTTGCAAAGTTAAGCAGTCAAAAATTAGGAGCAATATTTATGGTTATTTAGCTTGTTTCACTATGTGATTTATTTATTTTTACAAATATTACTTGTTAAATAAATATTTAGTTTGGAGCTAAATATATATTTTTTAAAACTAAATATTAAATTTGCAAACTAAATATTCAGCTCCAAACCAAATTATTATTTAACAAAGTAAGATTTAAATAAATGAATGAACGACTTAATATTAATAAATAACCCCCTTATTTCTGTCTTGAAACACGCTAAATAACCATAAATATTGCTCCTAATTTTTGACTGCTTATCTTTACAAATGACACCCCATGAGTTCCAAGTTGTTAAACTTCCTCTAGTTCCTCCATCAGACTCAATCCTGGAGTCTAAAAAACTGAAAATAATGCTGAAAAATCTTAAATGTGACATTATATCTGTGTGGGATATACAAACCATGGTGGTGCTTGACCTTTGGCTCACTGATTCACCGTGCCGCCAACTTTTCACCAAACAATAGTTCGGACAGGAAACCTTGTCAGTGTTAGGATTCCAGTCTGTGTGGTCTGTGTTTTTGTTTGTTTGTCTTCCTTCCTTCACCAGGTGGCACCTGGTTCTGATTCTCCTCCTCACACACCTGCAAGTCGTTACCTCGTTAACGGAGTGTTCTTAAGCTGCTAACTGCCACTACCTCGACGCCAGAGTGTTTGCCAGTTTTGGGTACTCTAGCCAAGCTGAGTTTTGCTGAGTCAAACTGAGTTTTTGTCAACCTGAGTCTTAACATTGTTTTTGTCTTTGCCTCTCGGCAGGAAGTCATCCTGCAAACTGGATTTTTCGGACCTTCTCTCCCTGGAAGAATCAACTGAGCTTCAAACTGAGCTGAGGAAACAAACCGGAGGTTTGGATCCACGTTTCCCCGAGAAAACGTTTGAGCTTCACACTGAGCAAGGGATTCATCTGCACAACAGTGTGTTCACGTACCGCAGGAAATCTGAGTGGCAGTCAATCTTTCTCTGTTCATCTACAAGCAAATGCTTTCTGGGTAACCCTGTCCACCCTCCTCTGTATGAGACAAACACCGGAACAAATTCCTCACCTGCTGGAGTCTAAGAGTCAACCTAATCTCTGGAAACGTGAGTCCGCCAACCTTTTCTCCTCTTCAAGTTCGAGAATCAATTCTCCCACTAAACCTGAACTAACCGCAGTGTCTTCCCCTCACCTTTCAGTTCCTGTTGAGCAGTGTTCAGAGCAACACTGGAACCTCTACAAAACTTCTCAATAAACCTGTTAAACTTTCTCCCTTGTCTCTCTGGACTGGTTTATCTGCATATGGGTCCGAGCTCTTGATAAAATCATGACAGTCGGGGTTAGATGAGTTTAGGTGCAACTTTAGGTTGGAGGTTTTCAGAAGATTTAACTAATAGAACGTGGCAAAATGTGGAATTTTTCTAGCACAGTAAATGTTACTGAGTAACAATAAGTGGTCTGCAGTTATGTGGAACATTTTTCTCACATTATTTTCTACATTCTGGTGATTTTTAGAGAATTTAAGTAAAGCAGAATGGGCCCGACTAAAATACTTGCATCTTAAATATACTTTAAACTAAGAATTTCACAACATTGTTCATTAATTATTCTCTGCAGTTCAAGTAAATTAAGCAATGGGGAACCAATAAGCTACTGTATTGCTGGATTACTCACAATGATACAGGAACCAGTGCAATCGAAACCTATGCAAACTGCACTGTGTATGAATATTTGGAAATAGGCTAAGGATTAAAAGGCTTCATTCATTATGTTATTACTTTTTCTTACAATTGACAAAATGGTTAAACAATTCAGGTTTTTCTAGGAGGCTGTAGATTTTATAAAAACTCACCATGACAGGAGACAGCACTTCTGTTTGAGTTTTGGAAGGTGTGGTGGAAATTAAGTTTTTAAACATATTCAATGGACCAAAATAAAGATAAATGGATATGACCAGTAGTAATAAAAGAAGAACCTCCCTGTGGTTTCTCCTCTATGAATCCAGGATAACTGAGCTGTTCTGCACATCCTCTTTGGATGTGGTTGGTCTTTTCTTGGTTGGCTGATCTTTAGAAAAATAAAATGCAGTGGTTCTTTTTCTATTTGAGCGTTTGAGAGGCAAACCTGGAAGCTTTAAGAATTAAAATATTTATGTTGGTTTAATTACTCCTAAATTCCAACGAGAGATTATTAAACTATAGTTTTTAGTGTGAGAAATTAGTAATATGAAGTGAGAGTGTGAAGACACAGAGATGGGTGAGTCTCACTCCCAATGGGTGAGAGTTGACAGCCCTGGATTCATAAAACCTGTCAATATTCTCCCTCGAATATCATTCACATTTATGACAGATTTTAATCTATTTTTATTAATAGCAGATTGCACTTCTTTTCAGAGAGTGATGTAGATTCAAAACTTTAAATAAACCCTATTATTTCATGTAGATTTTGTTGTTTGTTTTACCAAGAACACTGCACTGGAAAAAAATCTAGATAAGTCATTTTTTCTTAAAATAAGTACATTTGTCCTTGAATTAAGGAGGTAAAAGAGACATTTTGCCAATGGAGCAAAAATAATTTACACTTAAAAAAAGAAAACACAATTGCATTGTCTTATTTCCAGTGCATTTTATCTAATTGTCTTATTTTAAGAGTAAATCTACTCATTCGATTGGCAAACTTTCTCATTTACTGACTCAAATTAAGGATAAATACACTTAGTTTAAGAATTTTTTTCTTATTTCTACATCATTTTTCCAGTGTGGAAAAAGTATAACCTTGCTCAAACAAAAAAAAAAAAAATGATGTCCAGATATCACATCTAAAATATTTGACTTCACAGAATCTGAATTTAATCACTTGTTATGACCTGATTATGTTGATGTAAACAATAATACTGCACTTGACACAACTTAAAATCTTTGCCCTGTTTCAAATGATTTTCTGAAAATTTCAGTTGATGAACCAAACTAATATATTGACATTGGACCAACCTATATACTTACTTTTAACTAAACTAGAATTGATGTTTTTGTATAAAAAACTGTTAATTTAAATACAACCAAATTAGATTGTTTTCACATATGAGAATTTAGACAAGCCAATTAACCTAACAATCATGTTTTTGGATTGTGGGAGGAAGCCAAAAAAACAGAAAAAATTACATTCAGACCATGAATAAATATATACATATTGAGAGAAATCAAAAACCTTTTTTGGGGTCCTTTCTACGTGTATTTAGTTCAGATTAAATCAAACTTGATGTCTCAAAATCCAAAAAGAATGATTTACATAATCAAATCAATAATTTTATCTAGTTTAGAGTGAAAAGCGCATGTTACAGTTTTTTCAGTGTATAGTGTTTTGTTGTCCTGTTAATTGGAGACTTCATTTTCCCCTCAGCTGTCAGGGCACAAAGCAAATGTTTAGAGTAGCTCAGACACAAAGAGGTGTTCATCATGTTTATTGCTGTGCGCACTGCCGCTGGCTTTGGGCGCAGACTGTGCGCAGATCCAGCAGCCGCTCTGTGCGCGGCTCAGCATCCCACCCCTCCTCCTTCTCCTCCTCCTCCTTCTTAACGGCCGCAACCATCTGCCGCCTCTTTTTGTAATTTCTAACCCAGCAGATTATTTCCCTCAGACGTCCACTTGCACTTGTCACAACCCCAAAAACATCTCTCCGCGGAGCAGCTGCGCAGAGGAGCCGCTCTCCCTGCAGCGCGCATGCAGACCGGCAGCGGACGCAGACTGCTGGATCTTAAAGACGGATTTAATTAAGCGCCGGATAACGAACGGCAAGTCTACAGCCTTCGGTCGGGGAGGGAGGGGAGGCAGGCAACGGTTTAGCAGATCTTGGAAACCCTGGGTGAGGTGAGGGGAGGGAGGGAGGAGCGGAGAATGAGCTATTCTTGTACCAGCAGAGGCAACAGCCAGGACCCATCAAGCGCTAATCCAACCAGAGCAACCGGAGGGACCGACGGCGGAACGCAAAGCACCGGCAACGGGAGCCCGAAGCAACCGGCGGCGATGAAAGTGAAGAAAGGCTCCAACTCCATGGACGTGGAGGTGCCGGTGACCACGGAGGAGGAGCTGCTTGGGAGGACGGCGATCACTCCGGAGGATGTTCTGGGCTTGCAGAAGATCACAGAGAGTAAGTCCACGGCTGCTGGTGCGTGGGAAGGGAGGACAAAGGTGCTGGAAATGTGACAGACCCTGTATGACTCATGCATCACGTCATTGTTTTGTCCTTTTATTTATGTAATCCACAGGGCCCGCATAACGCATACAAAACCCCTCATTAATCGCCCTTTGCTTTATTGCCTAAAACCAAAGTGAACCTTTAACTTGGTAGAAGTGAAGCTTAGCCAAAAAACTAAGAAGTACAGTAAGGATATAATGCGTCTCACAGGTAACCCTGGTTTATGCATGACTCACTGCATCTAGACATCTAACCCATGAACAGGTTTGTCAGGTTAAAGTCAATAAATTCAGTGCATTTTATCTGGATTTTATGCACTCCACCAACACAAAGTTGTTTACAAACTAAAAGCAAATTGCCATACACTTAAAAATATATTTGTTCTTATTTAAGGCTGCATGGTACTACAACATGGAAATATGGACTGAAGCCACTGCAGGATATTTTTAATATGGTCCATTATAAATAAAGCAAATTTTCTAAGATAAACATACAACTAACAAGCAGTGTGGTACTAACACTCAAGGCTTTGACAGTTGTGTCATAATCAGTGGTGTCAAAAGTACACACATTTGTTACTTAAGAAGAAGTATAGATGCCGCAGTTTAAAAACACTGAGCAAGGGATTCATCTGCACAACAGTCCAAGTATCAACTTGACCTCTTTACTCAAGTTAAAGTGAAAAAGTATTTGCTCCAAAAACTGCTTAAAGTATAAAAGTATAAAGTAACCTTTAACAAAAAAAACAACCAGATTCCACTATAGGAATTGAAAGCTCAATTTTTCGATTATTTCGAAAAAATAAAATAAAAATTTCAGATAGGGCCAAGGATAAGGGAGGTCTTGTTGGTGTCCGTCACCGTCTCCCGATACGCTCTCACCTGTGTCCGACCTTTCAGACATTTCAACATCTTTTTCTGAATCGGACATCGTGGCATGGCATAGATAATTCACGTTTGCAGTTTGAAGAACACCTGCTTGCTTCTGATGATTTCCTTTAGCTAACCAATGAGTGTTTGCGTTATGTGACTCATCCAATTACACAAGTTTTCACTAGATGCGGATGGCGCCAATGATCTGCATTGGATGACATGAAATAAATATTTATAAACATTAAACCGAAGCCAAGAGTAACAAGTAACGTTTGTTTTTAAAATGTAACGAATAGAAAGTACAGATACTTGTGTGAAAATATAATGAGTAGAAGTCAGAAGTAGGAAGAAAAAAGTAATGGACTAAAGTATAGATACCTAAAAAGTGTACTTACGTACAATAATGTAGTATTTCTACTTCGTTACTTGACACCTCTGGTTATAATGATGTTTAGCTCTAATCTGAACATTAGCCATTAAAGCACACTGGTAGCCTAATGTCTTGTTCTGCTAAAAGTTCTATTAAGTTTAATCCCCATTCCCTCTAACTTAGAGTATCACTGTCTTTGCAAAAAGGCAAAAAAAAAAAAAAGGAAAACTACCACAGCATCATGCTGCCATCACCATGTATATCAGGGCTGAGAGATTGTCTTGTTTCTACTTATTGAGTAGGACATGAGGAAACAAAGGATCCAGGCTTACAACGTTTTAACTTTTGATTTTCAAACATTGGCAATAATTATACAAATCTGTCTGTTGCCGTAAAGCTTTGAGTAACAGATATACCACAATAGACTGCATATTGTCACAAAAAACATAAACAACCAATCAAACTGTTGCACTGGATTAGAGCAGTAAGCTGTGAATGAGATTAACTTGCTGCAAATATTAGACATAGTTTTGCAGTGTTGATTTTCCTCCAAACAAAGCAGTGATTGTTTTTATAGAGTTGGCAGTTTGGACATAGTTCAGCTATATGTTATGTGACAAAACACATCAAAGTATTGGGTCCCGAGATACAAGGTATATGAATACCTTATAACACACAATTTGAATAAAGACGGCTGACTTGGTTCACAAAGTTATGCTTGTGCATATCTAGTTAAGTTGAAATATACCAAATATTATGCCACATAAAACAAACATGTAAAAGGCTGTAAGCAGAGTTTCATTTGGGGGCCCACTTCCAGTTCATCATGATTATTTTTACAACTTGAAGGATTTTCTTGGGAAGCAAAGTTTTGTCTACAATAAATACAGAATAAATTCTTAATATCTTCTAAAACAGTGCATATGTAATTTGTTCCTAAACAGAAATGGTCTAATTAGCATTGAGTATGGCTGTCTATGTAATTTATCTGTTTTAGAGGTTTTCCATAGTATGAGCGCAGATGGTGAATTTGTGGATTCACAGACAAACAAAAGCTCCAACATTATAACAGAGAGAAGAAGAACATATTGGGGGGTTACCTCTGTTTATTTCAAAATTTCAAAACATTATCTTTTTAGTTTTATTCTGGTTTGTTTCAGTCAGTTTTGCTTATTCATGTAGGACTAATTTACAAGTAATAACCTCAAACAGATCCAATACCGTCCACTCATATTGGTCCTTATTACAATACAGCACAAAAAAATTCAGTGTATAATGCCAACCAGTGCAATATTTCTACTTTAAGACGGCAACTCCATTGTTTTTGGTCAATAACTTTGCAGCTAAATGTCATTCACTGCAATCATTTGGCGACCGTAGAAAGGAAATACTTAAAGTGAGCTTAGAATATGAGTGTAGGGCATCCAGGACAGTAGGGGGCGCTAAACAGGTGGAAAGTTGACTTTTTAAACCAGCTTTCCTCTTTTCGGTCATACTAAATGACATTGATTTTCCTTCTGCTGATGTGTTCTTGTTTTTAAGAAACTTTTGCAATCACAGGTGGGTAATCCAGGTGCAAAAAATTCAAAACCCTGCCTTGTTTACGTTCATCACTGCACCGTATGATTATCTCCCAGTCTGTGATAATAAGCTAAACATACTAATGGTTTGAAATAATCTCTGTACAGAGTTTCTACTTTATGAATCGAGACTATCCACCTCTGTCCGCATTTAATAAATCTAGATTGAAAGCAGTTATATAGCCAGAAAATATTAAATTGTCTCATTTGCCAGAAAAATACTGGTCTTAAAGAACAAAAGTTGCAGGAGTTAAAGATTGTGTTGTATTTAGCTAAACTCAAAATTAAACCAAATAGCTGATAGAAATAGAATAGAATATTTTATGTCCCCACAGGATCAATATAGTTGTCAAATAACTGCACTTAGTTATTTATAAATAAACTTGATCTTATCACTCAGTTTCTTTCACTAATTTTAAATGATAAACTCTGTTCTTTAATTAAGCCACACTTTAATCTGCTGGAAGCTGCTGGAAAGCTCTTATGTAGACAAGAACACCTACATGTAAGTTAGCTAACAGGTGGCAGCAGGACATTTGCCTATTTAAAGGCTGCTTACACAACCTGGTTACAGAGCCTTATAGCATACAATCACACTGTGAGATTTGCTTGTGCTTTTTCTAAAAGGCATTTGTACATTTCAGCTCAACAGCTCTGCTTATTCTTTGGCAAACATATTTATTTTATTTCTTTTTCTGGCCCAAAATGTAAGAGTGAGTATCAAGAAAAAACACACACACAGGTTTCTTCTCTTTCCTGTATTTCTACTTGTTCCTTCATATATTTACAGACCAAACAGCAAGATAATGTTCTGATGATTTATCCTTGCTTCACTAATACAATCCCAGCTTACTCAGCCTGTCCTAAGGGAAATGCACAAAATGTTTGTTATCCTCTATAATCTGGGTGCTACTAAAAAACATAAGCGGCTATGAGTAAAGTAGTAATCAAATTTAAAACAGATCCGTAATGGTCTTAAAAAGTCCCACTTTCCTGTCGTCTGGCATCATCACTTGGAAGCAAGAGAAGGTATGTGTGAATCACCACGGCAACACGGATACACGCTTGAGTCGCTACAGCAACGTGAAGCATCTCCCTCCTGGTTACAGCCAGCAGAGCGTGCATCTCTGTTCTCCCACACACTTCCTGTTTCTGTCCTGTTTCACAATGGAGTCGTTCACTGATGAAACAGCGATGCACCCCATCATCACATGTCTGACATCAATATTAGCGGTTTAACAAAGCAGGAAGCAAACCTTAGCTCTTCCCTTAAAAGCTGCTGGAGCCTCACTCTTGTTTTGTTGCTGCCACAAATCCTCAAGTGGCTGAAATTGACTCTCACTGAAGTGTCACAATAGCAGTCGGAGAAGCGAAGACTGAAAACAAACCTTAGTCAGAGAAATGTGTTTGAACGGCTTTGCTCTGTTTCTGAGAACAGTCTGAAAAGTCATTTTAAAACAGCTTTAAGCTGCTTTATCTGCTTTTCTCACCTGATCTATCCTCTAATTAAGCCAAGTTGTTAGAATTAAGTTGGATTTAGCAAAGAGAGTGTAGATTTCCAGTCAGAAGACAGCTTAATATTAACTGAAGTCATATAAACACATTTGTATTTACTAGACTATGATTATAGCTAGGGCTGCAACTAACGATTATTTTGAAAATCGATTAATCTCTCGATTATTTTTTCGGTTAATAACCAGATAGCTAAAGGTTCCTTAAGGAAGATTTTTTATGAAATTAAACCAGGTGAAACTAAAACTTTTCCACTTGAGGATTTCTGGATAGAGTTTATTGACAGGCAAAACATTTATTTGATTTTAAATGGTAAATGTTTATATTTTTTTTACAATTTTGATATAATTACTGCTCTAAGTGGGCCGTTCTGTCAGCTAAAAGTATATTTTACAGTCTCTATACTCTAGTTAACAATTAATGATACTAAATTAGTTGACGATTATTTCAGTAATCGATTAATCAGGATTAGTCTGATTAATTGTTTCAGCCCTAATTATAGCACGGTATTCAACTTAAATCCTTTGCACCAAAAACATTCTCTGGCAGAAGGGTCCTTTGGGTAAACTGTTAAAAAGTGATGTTAGTAAAGGAACACTATTTTCTTTATATTATAAG